CAGGTTTAAAATAGGAGCCGCTAAATTCCGTGGTGCAACAAAGGTCTGACCAAATAAATGTTTTGGTTTTCTATCTAAAAATGGCCAAAGCTGGGGCAGGGGGCTAATTCTGCCTGGGAGTTTCATACATGGGGTTCTGCCACAGAAACGCCTTGTCTGGTGTCACTGCTCTTTGCCCCCTTAGCCAACGGGACCTCCTGATCATAGCATATAGCCGGCAGGTGTTGAAAAAGGTGTTTTGTAAAGAACTTAGTTCCCAGACCACTTAGAACTTTGTACACATGTTCTCACCACTCGAGTTGGGACAGGTATGGTAGCTCATAGACAACCAGTGCAGTGCTTTGAGGATCAGAGCGATATGAACCCCTCTCACTGCTCCAAGTAACAATCAGGAAGCAGCATTCTGGACTGGGTGCAGCTTCTGGGTCATCTTCCAGGGTGGCCCCATGTAATGCACATTACAGTGATCTATACAGGGTTACTCTATCATGTCTCACTCTAGAGCAAGACCGCCAGCTTATTAACCTATAAAATTATCAACTTCAAGTTGGGGGGGGGGTTGCTCTTTCTGAAACATAATAAGGCAGCAAAAGATCATTTAAAATACAGCTTCTGAGCCAATTCTACCTCTAAGCCCTATTAAGGCCTTGGGCTGAAAATGCTGAGCCCAACACTTTCTACCCATAATCCTTCAAGTAAGAGAAACCTCTGAATAAAACAGCTGTCTTCTCAAAAGCTCACACTGAGCGTTTTGTAAGAGTTATAAATGTTGGCTTTTGTAACTAATGCTGAAAGTCAAAAGGATACCAGCTCTCTCTTGTCCCGGTGCTCCCTTCTAAATGGATTCTGGAGGAAGAAAACGAAGCCCCCTTTGTAATCTGATATCTGAAGCAAGTGGTTCATTCATGTGGTTTTGTGGTAAAGAGGAGCCTGCAGCACGGCTAGACCTGATCTTGGTATACTGCAACTTCATTTGTTATTTCATTCTGCAACCCTGAGAGAACTCCTCCCAGTTTCACTACATCATCCACCTTTGACTAGGGGTGCATGGGGTGTTAGGGGAGGGGTATTACGGTGGGGGACATGTTGTGCTCCTTCTGGGGCAGTTTGTCCACCTTTGGTCGCCAAACCCTGCACTCAGCTCTCACCTGTGACTCCTGGAAGCTGTCAGCATGCGACAGTGGCCACACCCTGGGAATGGCTCCGACTGACTGGCTAAACCAGTTGAGGGTATCTGACAGGTCTCAAACCCTCAGAGAGTTAGGGGCTTTCTCTGAATGTGAATATAGGCTCCAGAAGATGAAGTGGACAAGACTAATAGTGGGTCCAACAGTCAAGAAGGTGGTATCTGCATATGCGGTAGAGGGAAGTGAGGGGCAGGTGGGGCTTGTCCACCTGGGTAGGTGGCCCATCTAGGAGAAGGAAAACTCTGCTGCCTTGCAGGATATCTTCAGCAGAAGTAAAGGCTAAGGAGTAAACTGTACACATATCCCTAAGACAGTTGGATGGCACCTTGTACACCTCCTTCTGGCAACTCCTGCTGCCAAGCTGGTGCCAAACATATTGCTTTCCTTTCCTTTGGACCACATCAGTGAGGCCACGTGGGGGGTGGGGGTGGCCTTGTTGTCTGGACAGCCCAGGACCTCCACACATACTTCCCAGGCTGTGCCATGGGTAGGTCACTTTGGTGCTGCTAACGCAGTGGTTTGGCTTTGCCCCCAGAAGAACAATCCATTGTCTCTCGAGACAGACGGATGCCAGTAACAACCGCTAATGTGTATATCTATCTTCAAAGTGCCACCACACATTCAGCTAACTGTAAGGACCTTCTTCTCCATTGTACAGAAGGAGAAACTGAAACACAGAGGTGAAACCATTGGGTGGTCTATTATCATGGTGGCAGAACCATGATTAACATTTAGCAGCATGTTACCCCCCAGCCAATCCTTTGCTATTTTAAAAGACATTTTGCAGCAAAATCCTGTGCATGTGCACTCAGAAAGAAGTCCCTCTGCTTTCAGTGAGTGAGGTTATAGGATTGCAGTCTTACAAAAGCTTTCAGCCCTAAAGGGGGACTCAAACATGAATCCAGTCACCCATTGGAAGGAATTAAAAATAGAACTCTTTAGGGCTGCAGTAGCTTACCACTCTGAAAATAGATATCAGCAGCTCGACTTTTTAATTTTTCTTTTATCACATGGTAGTGGCAGCTATAGATCTTTGGATTTAGTTTTATTCCCACCATGGGATAAAAAAACAATAAATCTCAAAGCACTTGGTGCCTTATGTCATCTCCTCAATAATGCATGTATGGTTCCCCCCCCCTTGAGGTGTCTATGTTACGGATTGTATCTTAGCTTTGTACAAAGCCACTCTAAGATCTCTCCTTCCATCTCTTACAATTGCATCCAGAGTGCACAAAGAATAACATAGTTTTAATAAGCCTCCAGTGGAAGCTTGCTTGCGTGGGTAGCTTTCTCATTAATCCTCCCTCAACTCACCCCCGGCTTTCGCATGAGAGGGATCTCTTACTGGAGCATAAGAACAATTCCTGGTGTGTTCCCTGAATGGTGAAGAGGAGGAGAGTGGAAGCCCTTAGAAAGATGACCTCATAGCTGCTCTGAATATTGATGCGTAGCTCCCAAACTGAATGAGCAGGGCAGAGTTGGAGGATGTGTGGACTTAAAAGGACAAAGGGGCAAATGTTTGAGGACAAATGGGGAATTTGGATAATTCAGATGGAGCTGTAAAATCACCATAGCAGGAGGATGACTTCCTTGGAACAGGGCTGTTACTGTAGAGAAGGCCCTGCGGCCTTCCCTAAGAGAAGCCCATATGGAAGAGGCTGTTGGTCACGTGACAAAGAGGGCTGCCTGGAAAGTTTTCTCCTGAATTGGGAGGCAGAATGAAGGAGGCTGCTCTATTCCCAAAAGGCAGGGATCCTAATTAAAAATAACATTTCAGCAGTTCATCAACTGCTGTAGAAGATCTTCTGGGCAATTCTGCTTTTAAATTAAGGATACGCCTTTGGGGGAAATCATTCCTGTTAGGAAGAACGTTTCGCTTTGCAACATGGTGGTGGAGTTGATGGAGGCATCATTATATGTCCATTCCAGCATAAAGTGGCAGGGTTGTGGTAAATCTATTCCTTCTGAACAGCCAGGAATAGTATTTTACCTCCATCACCTCCTTCTGGCCCTGCTTTTTAGGGTCCTTCAGCTGGACAAAGGCAAAAACAACAGGCCATTTTGGCCCCACAGCTCTATTAGCTTCTCTTGCACCTTAAAACATATCTAGGTTAGGATGACTTACACAATGATTCTTAACATGTTTACTTGGAAGTAAGCCCTGTACGCAGACTGAATATCCTTAGGACCTTAAAGTTCTTCTGTGGCAGCCACATACATCCCCCCACATACAGATGGAGCAATTGCAGTATTGCACCGCGAAACTTGCCCCAATAGAGCTCAGTGCTGCCACAGCAGTCATGTGCAGACCATTCCACCAAGTAAGAAAAAGTGTTCTGCATAGCCAGAGATGGAATGAGTAATTTTTTGACCGGCTGAGACAACATCCCTCGCCCTTGACTGCCCCAGGGCAGTCTTTTGTCATTATTTTTGAATACTGTACCTACGTGAGGTTCTGGTCTGTATAAAGTGGCCAGAAATGACTGGGAGGGGACTGGCATTCGGTAGAGGTTGGGAACAAAAGGATGTGCATTGTAAAGAACGAATGCAATCTGCTGCCGAACTCAGGGGCGGTCTGGGGGGCGGGCAGGTGCTGGAAATGGAGGCTGTGTCACAAATGGAATGAGCTGGGCAGAGATTCATCACCCAACACGTCCCCAGGGATCTTACCACAATAGTAAGCTGAGCTCAGAAGTAGGCCATGCCAGTTTGGAGATGCAAGGGGGTGGGGGGATGAATGGGGTACAATAGGAACAGAAGTTGGCGGGCGAGCAGACAGAGAGACGCAGAAGTGTGGAAAGCCGGAACTGGGGAAAGGCGCGTTAAGTTGGCTTGAGGGCGCGCTTAGATTCGCTACTAGAAGGGTGCGGGGGGGGGTGTGCAGGGGAGGCGCATAAGATCAGAAGGTTTGGAACGAATAAACACCTGAATTTTCAAAGGAATGCATACAGGAGAAACAAATGGCACGAGGCAGGTGCTGAAGGTCAGAAGAAGCGGCATGAGGAGGATCGCGGGGGGCAGGGGTGCCCAGTAAGTGCTTGAGGACGTTCGTGGGGTCTGGAGCTGGGAACGAAGTTTAGGGGGAGGGGGGACAAGCGTGCCCGATCTCCTCTTTGTCGTCAGCGAGGACACGCCGCTTCTTCTATCCTCGGGAGTTGCAATACATCCCCCTTCCTCCGCTGTCCCCTCAATAACCACAGGATCGCTCTCAGCCGCAGAAAGCGAGCGCCAAAGTTCAGGAGAGGCCTCGGGTGTCAAATCATGCCCGCCTGGTGGGTTTACAAATCTTCGCGGTTCCGGGAAGAAATGAACTCTCCCCGGCCCAGAGAGGCGGCTTTGGCTTTTTGGCCGCGCGGGGCTTGGAGTGCGCGGGGCTGGCGAGGCATCCCGAGGCGGCGCGCAATCTCCGAGAAGGCATCGCCAGCGCTTTCTCCTCGGCGCGCCTGCTCTGCGCTGCGCAGCAGCATCCCTTGCTCGTCGCTCCTTCGGCAGGTCGCTTTCGCGGAGGCGCACGGTCCAAATAGACGGCGGGCAAAACTTCGCCCCGCTCCCTTGCCCGGGATTCCCGCCGCTGACAAAGCGGCGCGCTCCCTCCCCCCCCCATTTGCCAGCCTCGCGGCGCATCTTGCTGCAAAGTTGCTCTCGGCTTGTAGGAAATTTGGGGCGGGTGGGAAGGTGCTCTATGGAGTCCCTAACCCCCTCCCCGTGGCGGGGAGTCCTTCAGCGACCGTCCCCGCGCAACTCCCCCAAAGTTGGGTACTGGGCCAGACCCGCGCGCGCGTGCACACGCCTCGATTCCCCCTTTTTACTTACCTTCGGGGTCTGTCCAGGGGGGTCCTTGCCGCGCCTCCTCCTAGTCCCACATTGTCACCCGGAGAAGCGTCTGTGACAACTGGGAGTGACATCAGCCCGGAACAATGAAATCAAAGGCTTGACAGGCGAGGGAGGCCGAAGCCTCGGGACTCTTTTGCCTCCCCCTGCAATCCCGCCCAGCCTCCCTCGGCCCCTCCTTTGCTCGCCGGCTCCCTCCAGGATCCAATTACAGCGGATAAAGGAGACACTAAAGGAACAATGCACACTGGGTAAGACCATCTGCCAAGGACAGGGACATTCCACGCCCCCCCCCTCCGGCAACGCAGATCGCTCACCCTCTTTTGTATTTGGCATTCATTTCCCGGAAAGCGACCCGTCGCGGGCCCGGGCCGCCCGGGGTCCCGCCATCGAGACCTCCTCCGTTCGGGTTGCAGGACTTGCACTGCCTCGTTTCACGCTGCTTAGCGCTCGCCCTCCCTTGATTTGTTTACTCGAAATCCAGGTGGCCGCCTTTGCCTGCTTGTTGTCTGCCCAGAAGCCTGCCTGATTTCTTTTGATCGTGCACTTTGGGTGGTTCAGAGATCTTGCCCCTGCTGCCCCACTCTGTGGGCTCTCTCTCAGGTCACTGGGCGCTTGCTGCGAATTAATTGTGGGCGCCGCGCAATTCTTTTAACTAAAGAGGAGGCCAATTGTTGGAAAGTGAAAGAGCCCCTGATTATCCACGGGTCACTCTCAGTGCTTTTAAACTTACGTAGTTCATTCATTGGATTTCCTCACTGATTGAGTGCACAGTTCTGAGGCTGGCGGAGTCTGAAATAATTTGCAAAGAAAACCCTATACTTTCCCCAGGGATTCGAGTTATTGCAATGAGCCACTCCTTTCCCCAGATCCGTTGCATCAACTTCATTCAAGTTGAGCGCAATAACTTGTCATTAATGTCAGCAAAGAGGAGAAACGCCATGGTGCATCTGCAGCAGCACAACTGGACACCTTAATTTGCCCCAACTGCAACAAGACACATCTCCCACATTGGTCTCTACAGCCACAGCAGACGCTGCAACCTTCCAACAGCTTGACCTCACCCCCAAAGGCGCATTCCTCCATCTTCTCCTGAGACAGACAGATGCCAACAACATTATTATTTGGGTACTCTTGATATCTGTGTTCCATGCACACAGTATCTTCCTCCATCATGGTTCAGGAGGATTTGAGGTACTTGATTATTACAGTAACAGGGACCCTTTCTTAGCTAAATTTGTCATTGTCCAGCCAGCAGAGTGGGCCTTGTAGTTCAACTACCTGTTTGCAACAGAGAATAGGAGAGGGCTGAGAATATATAATGGAAATAATGAAGTGAACTCCTTAGCATCCCATAACAGCATCCTGCTTGCCATCCTGTAGTCATGCAACTACTGTTTAAGTGTATGTGTCTAGTTTAGCTTAATATAGAGTTGTTGGTGTCAGAAAAATAAAGGCATATAGAGCTGGCTCGCATGTGCAGGTTAATAATCTGGTGGCTGCAGTGTCATCATGATGACATCCATGTGTGAATGAACCATCATGGTCTTCCAAGCAGCACAAGCATGTCAATCATCAGTCCCAAGCCCTATACAAGGCAAGTTGTTGGTGTTGATGTGTGTGGCTCCCATTTACTCATGCATGCACACACACACACACACACAGGCACTAAGGTAAAAGATAAAGGACCCCTTGATGGTTAAGTCCAACCAAAGGTGACTATGGGATGCTGCGCTCATCTTGCTTCAGGCTGAGGGAGCCACTGTTTGTCCACAGACAGCTTTCCGGGTCATGTGGCCAGCATGACTAAACCACTACTGGCGCAACAGGACACTGTGACGGACGCCAGAGCGCACGGAAACGTCGTTTACCTTCCCGCCACAGTGGTACCTATTTATCTACTTGCACTGGTACACTTTTGAACTGCTAGGTTAGCAGAAGATGGGACAGAACAATGGGAGCTTACCCTTCTGTGCAGATTCAAACCGCCGACCTTATGACCGGCAAGCCCAAGAGGCTCAGTGATTTAGAACACAGTGCCACCCATACTGAAGCTTTGCAATCTATACTACATTGCCCTATAAGAAAAGAGACGGTACATTGCAGAAAGGGATTTTCAGAGCACCTAGGTTTACTCACTGAAGCACATCTTTCGGGGGGGGGAGAGAATACCCAAGAGGGTCAGTTGCCAGTCTGACTTGGACAAAAATTCTTTCTCACCCCATATACTGGAGCCAGAAAGAGGGAATGTAAGTGTAGAAAGAAAGGAAAGGAAGCTATGTTAGGCTATATCTCTATGATGCCACCCAACGCACTTAAATTCTCACCTGATGGAAATACTTGATAACCGAAGTACTGTAGTTGGGTGGAAGAGAACTGCTACAAATGCAAAAAGGGAGGGGGAAAACCCCTCCCTGGCCCTATTTGTCCACAACAGAATAGAAACTGAAGCATGGGATGAAGAATGCCGTTTCTATCATCTAACAATTGCCAGCACAGCCTTGGCAGAGGAATGCGACACTCGTGTGGGATGAGAGAGAAAAGCTGCACAGTAATGTGATCTGCTGCTGCTGGCTACCCAAAGAGAGGAGTTGGGTGCAACTAACCACACAACAGGTTGTGTGTGCACTTCACCACAAATGCTTCAGAGATGGTGGGGTGGGGAGAGTGAGCCTGCCATTGTACACCCCATGACTACATTTAAGGCTTAGTGCCAAGCATCTATCTGTCAGGAGTAGAAATGTGCCAGCCCTGAACCTACTGTAAGGTAGGACTGCGGATTGCGGAAGCATTGCCTTGTGTTGATGATGGAGCCAAGTCAGTGTTGTACAGAAACACCCCGTGCTTGTGGACAGGGCATAGATGGATGGGTAAGTAACAGGAGCTTCCTGGAAGCTGAGAAGGGAATGGAGGAAGTGTGGGCCTAGGGCCATGGCTAGGAGAGGCAGATTTTTTAACATTCTCTCTAACAGTCCGCTAATGGCGTGGTCAATGTGATTACTTCTGGGGCAACTCTATGGCTGTGCAAATGTGGGGAGATGGTTTGCCAGTCCCTTGATTGGCACCTAGCTGGTTGTCATTCATGGGGCTTCAAAATTCCTGAGCATAGGTTTGTTCCTAAAGAAAGGAAGTATTAGCTGCTATGAGAAAATGAAAGGAAATGGCACTCTTTTTTTGCACAATAGATACTTGTTGGGTGGTTTTTATTTCTAGTTCTATTGATTTTACGATCATGTGTGGACATCCTGATGTTTCTTACCTCAGCTTCAAACCAATGCAGCTACCAGTGTCAGTGAAAAACAGTAAGAGGCTACTCCGCCACAGAGCTTTCCACTAAAGCTACTGCAAAGTTGACTTTTCCCTTCTCAATTTCTAGCTGCCTTGAAAATCAGGTCTACCAAAGGTATGTAACTGCCTCTCCAAACTTATTTCTTTACTTATGCATACTCCATGTTTCCTTATGAAATAAGCTCAAAAGCAGCTTACCTGCCCCCAAAAGCTACTAAAATACATAAAGCCCTGAGGAAAAAATCCACATGACTAAATACATTTTGTATAATAAAACAGATTCAGCATAAAAACGAGACGGGATTTTAACCCATGCTAAAAGCTCAGCAAAATTAAAAGGTCTTAACAGCTCACTTGAAGCTTAAACAGAGAGGCTGTACAGTACTGGGCTCTTGTGGTGCAACAGTGATCTCAAATGGAAAGCGGGGGGAGCAAAAACTACATGGGGGGGCAGATGAGAAAGAGGACAGGGCTCTTGCTCCTTTAATAGTGGAGTAGAAGAGGGTATTTCAGTTGTAGTTTGTTAGAAAGGGGTGCCACCAGGAAGTGGGGAGGGTCTTTCCCCAGAGGGATCTTTGTCCACAGCCCACTCAAACTGACACCAGGCTTGCCTGCTCCTCCTCTACTCTGATATTTGGCCTTCAGGCAGTCAATGACTTCTGCAGCCTCAGCACAGGAAGCTGCCTTATAATGAATCAGCCCATTTTGTCCATTTAGCTCAGTACCATCCATACTGCCTGGTAGCGGCTATCCAGGGTCTCAGATTGGGACATTCCCAACCCTATCTGAAGATGCCATGGATTGAGCCTGGGGCCTTCCCCATACACAGATGCTCTACCACTGAGTTATGGCCTCAGGCCCCTTTGTTCAAATTGGATTGCAGTTGTAGCTAGCTAGGCTCCAGGCCTGACACTAAGGTGGTCACACCTAGATGAATGTCTACCAAGGCTGTGTGAATTGCGATTTGCAGGAAGGACTCGTGTTCAAGCAAGCATAGAACACGTGTACAACTTGTGTTTTGAAGTAGAATAGCAATAATTAATTGAGCTTCTGTTCTGCTCATATTCATTTTCAAAGTTCCGTGGACAATCCAGACTGAATGAGATTTTCTTCAGACATTTTAGTTTTGTTGAATGCCAGCATGAATAGTTAGAGAAAATGGATGTTTTTCCTAGAAATAAGACACCCAGCTAGCATCTCTTGGCCTGAAAATGCATTGAAGGTCACGTCACCTTGGCAGATTATATTCTTGGCCAATATAGCTGTTGCTGATCCTTGAGATTTGGATATTGCCTCATAAGAGATACTTATTTCACACTGATGGTATTCCACATATGGCTCCACTCCACATTCCAGTTACTTTGATGTGTTTTCGTGCCACAAAATTTCAGTAGCGATGAACCCAACTTCACTGACATGCCAGAGCAGAGCACTCTCCCTTCCTTTGAGGTGCAGTCAATCCCAGTGCTTTAGATCCTAGCTATAGATGGAAGTTGCTGACTGTGTGGGAATCAGACTCCCGGACTTGTCAGCCCCCTGCCAGCAAATCCTCTGCCTAATAGGATAAAGTTTGGTTTTTGACAGCCATCACAGCCTTCAGCCAGTCAGGGTGCCATGTGACAATTAGAGTCCACCTCCCTACTTCTTACTGCTGGCTCCATCTGTCTGGTCTCCATCTGTGGAAAATGAGCACAAAGGAACAAGGCCAGGTGGCTCTGGAATAGCCGTGCGGCTGACCTGTCTCCCATCTGTTCACCTTGGCCATTAGTTTGGTAATCCCTTGGGCATTTAAAGGATTCCATTTGTGCTGTTACTCCAGGGGCTGGCAAGCATTTTCTCTTAAGCTGTAGAAAGCTAGAGCATCTAATTCCATCTCATGTGGATAATGGGAAGAGACAGGGCACTGATGATACAGGAAAGGTGGCAAGCAAAGGGACCATAGCTCAGTGGTAGAGCACAT